ACCTTTCCTTTCAATCTGGACTCTTTCCCCCGAGGTCCTATCACGGGGTAAAATTCTTCTCTCTGGGTTCTCCACACGTGTCTCCACACGTGTCAGGGGGATATCTCGTCTCGTCTCTCCATCGCGTCCCCCTGAGGTACGGGATCAGGAAAGTCACTTATACTTTACAGTCAAATAAGACACACACAGCGAAATACGTTTCAACTCCCGTCTTAGTCGGTTTTTTGAGCACTCTATAAGACACAGCGCCCTGGGGAAAAGTCCCCAAGACTATCGCAAGGCTGACTCAAGACTCGCCCAAGACTCTCCAGGACTGGACCACGACTGCGTCTGTCGTGCTGTACTCGCCAAGACCAACTCAAACAACTTTATTCATTTTCAAAACTCTAACCAATTACAAAGCAGAAAAAAAGACTCTGTAGGGCGTAACCTTCAATCACAAAGCCAATCACACAAAGTACTGAGTACGTCATATCTTTTGATTAATCGTTCACTACATTAATAATTATGAATACAAACTGTCAGAATTAATAGTCCGAATAGCTACGGTTATCTCGTAATTAGTTCCAAATCACTGAGCCAAGTTCCGTCCAAAACTTCAAATAGGCCTAAACGATGACAGACATAACACAACAATTCGCTCGTAATCAGCTAATTAAGTCGGTCAACAGATACGCGAAAACTAATTCATGACAGTCCTGATGAGTTGCGGAAACGAAACCGGTCGACCTTACCTTTCAAACTGACCAAAAAAGCCCCCGGTCGTTTGATTGCAACCCCACACTTTTTGAGTATTTTCTAGGTTTTAACTCAAATCGTGCCGCCCTAAAACCAACATCGCACACACAATTGAAAACTTATTACGGTGTTTTCTCCTAACCTGTGGTTAGTAATTTTTGCCGTATAAATAATCAAACAAATAAATTGTCCCTCCCTATTTAATCCAACCGTTTTAACTTTCGAACTTACACCACAACCAAAATCAGCGCTCCCCGCGCTACAAAACTCCCGCAAAATCTCTCTCCCCGTCCTCTAAAAAACTCCCATACTTTTACTTTTCGACTCACGCAAATAAATTTTCCCCGCTTTCAAATCCAACCGTTTTAACTTTCGATTTTACACTACAACCAAAATCAGCGCTCCCCGCGCTAATAAACTCCCGCTAAATTACCTCCCGCCCTCTATAAAATTTCCGTAGTTACAGCTTTCGTCTCACGCAAATAAATTGTCCCCCTATCAATTCCAACCTTTTTTAATTTCGAACTTACACTACAACCAAAACCAGCCCCATAAAACCGGTCCCCTATTTACCTAGTTACGTTTAGTTTTTTTTTTTCTATCTCCATTTACAATACCCCCGTTGACACCTCGCCAGGTATTTACACTTCCCATCCTCTCCGCCCCTTTGAACGACCGCTACCAATCAGACTGTACAAATAGTTATCCGCCACGGTGTCTACTCCCCAGTAGCACCGCCGACCAT